AAAAAAAAAAAATCATGGTCCTAAAGAGATATTTATATGTACCACATTCATAGCACCTTGATTCACAATAATCAAAATGTGGAAATAACTCAAATTCCCAGCAACAGAAAAATAGAGCAATTATGCTGGTATATACAACCATGGAATATCTTTTAGCTTTAAAAAGGAAGAGAATTCTGTTACATGTTACAACACAGATGAACTTGAGGAAGGGCACTATGCTAAGTGCAACAAACTAATCACAAAATTCTATTAATATAAAGAACCCAAAGCAGTCAGAGAGACATAAAGTACCATGGTGATTGCCAGGGCCTCAGGGTATGGGTATTTGTTATTTAATGGGCATACAGAATTTTAATTTTTAAAGATGAAGGGTTCTGGAAGTTAGCTCCACAACATTAATGTACTTAACACTGCAGGACTGAACTGTATATTTTAAAATGGTTAAGACAGTAAAAACAAAAGACAAAACCCAACTAAAATCTAGAACTGTAGGTTTCAAGGATCCTGAGAACATTACAAAAACTAGGTAAATGAGTCCATCAAGGAACAACCACTACAGAGAGTATAATTTTCCTAAATTATTTGCTACCAGTTCATGGTAGTTTTTCAACCTAGACCATTACTATGCATTTGCTATGAATTTATTTATAGTTGCTTTTAGGAAGGAATCCTTAAATATCTCTTGATGGACTGATTGACAGAAGAGATATTACTAAATGTGTAACTGTCACCTTTTATTACTACTATATCCATAGTCCTTCTCTAAGCTTCATTTTTCTCATGCATAAAGAGAGTAAGAGTACCTACTTCCTAGCATTATTGTGAAGATTAAATAATTGAACTTTTAGCAGGGTGTCAAATTAGATCAATGAAGTATATAAAGAAATATATGAGAAAAAAAGAAAAGTGGGTTGATTGAGCCTGGTCTGTGACCCTTCACCATTGTATCCAACAGATATAATGTTCTGGCTTCCAATAGGAACCAATATTGAGTCAATGCTCAGTAAACACTTGATGAATCAATGAACTATTGGATCAAAGGTAAAGACTCAAAATCTGTTAAAAATAAATTTATAAAATAATTTCTTGATTTTTTTTAAAAGTTAATGGCTATCTATGGGTAGATCATGACAAATATCTTCTTTCATTTCTGCAACTTGTGTTAGCTTTTTCCAGGCTACCATAATTTTTGGGTCCATTTTGGGTTTATTTAGCACTTACTGTATAGTCCCTGCACGGTCAAAGCAGTAGGATTTCAATATAAACAACATACTCCTGACGTGGGGTGCTTCCAATTTAGAGGAAGAGACAGGTGATGGATATGGAAGTACCAGGTGGATTAAGGGTCATGTTAGAAGCAAATCTAAGGTGTGCAAAACAAAGTTCCAACTGTTCTGCTGGAGATGAGTATGGTTTTGGTGAAGGAAGGCCCTTGTGGTCAAGTTGCTTGAATTGATCATGAAGGACAGATAGGACTCCTCCAAAGGGGTGGTGGGGGTGTGCAGTGATGGGGGAGAAAGGCAGAAAGGTGTATACAAGCATGGAGATGAAGTCACCAGTGATCTTCAGGGAAGCATGGGTGGTTTCTATAAAGGACAGAGCAGAGCTGGGAAAGGGAAAGTGCCTCAGAGAGATAGAAGGGTCCAGAGCTCCTTGGTCAGAGGTCAGAGGAGGACAAGGACTTATCCTCATGGGAAATCATGGAGTTTTTAAGCAGAAGAGACATGATCAGATACTCGAAAGATAATTTTGACAACAGAAGGGAAAACAGACATTAGAAATCAAGACTGGAGGGACAGGTGGCTCAGTGACCAATCAGTTAAGAAAAATGGGAGCAATAAGACGCGCTTGAAGATCTCGACTGGTAAAGGGATGGCTTTGAGAGATGTCAAGGAAAGAGAATCAAATATATTCACTTAATTTTACTTTGTAAGTGAATGAAAACTTAAACCATGAGCCACATACACACTAAAATCATACCTGATAGACGTTTTATTCAGGTGTGTTGCCTGAAAATCATATACCCTTATATAAAAAGTGAGGTAAGAGATGGAAGGCTTGGGATGACTTAAACATTCATCACTGCTGTCGGCTTTTAGTTCACTCGCTTTCAGCTGGACTTTGTTGACATCCATGGTTTGGTTTCAAGCTAAAAATCATAATCCCTCCCATGCAGACCAAGTTCCAGCAGAGAGGATTTAATCCCTAAGAACCCACACCAGAGGAACTCCATGAAGCATATTCTATGAGACCAAATCTAGCAGATACAACTTGACTATCACTCAGGCCAAGCAAAGCCTGAGCATGAGGAATTTGGGCCCATTCAGGAATAGAAACAATTGGTGATTATAACAGGTTATAATGATTTATAAGGTCAAATTTTATATCTGTCCTAGGATACCCTGAACCCCTTAAACTTGACCCTAGGTTTATGACTGGGGCACCAAAGAAAAAGAAAGAAACCCAGATGCTATAGAGTTTCTAGATACTCTAGAATTAACCTAAATCAGTTAATTCCTCTCAGGAAAACATCTTACCTAGCATGGTATGTGAATTACTACCAGGAAGAAAGGTAGAATATTATAACTTTCAATAACCTAATGACTATCACAAATTGAGAGTAAATCATTCTCTCAATGAAATAACCACTTAATGTTCCTCTAGTATGGATCTATATTTACATCCATCACACAGAAGTACAGCCATAATCTAATAGTCTTTCAAATAACTTGGCCCAAACATTTAAGAAATAATCCCTGACCAAGCGTTTCCAAGGTACATGATCAAATCCTTCACTTTGTAATATTCTGTGCTTACTCTTTTCCTCCATCCTCTTATCCTTCCCAGACTCTTTTCTGTCCATGACCAGAAAAGTAATGTTGAAACACAACCAAATGCCTTACAATTAATACAAATTTATTTTGTAAAACTAGATTGTTGGCTATGATTCTATAATTAACTTCCAAACCTCTAAATGTTCACTGACCGTTACTGATAAAGCTGAGATTCAGCAAATAGTGACAAGTGAAAGATTCAGTGTCTCACCCAGTTCCACATCTTGATCGTCAGTGAGCACAAGGATAATGTTGGGCCGGATGTTTTTACGTTCCTGCTGAATCCGTCCCCTGAATCTCGTGGATCTGACAGTCGAACAGAGGCTGCCCAGCAGTTCTGAGCCCAGGACAGCCAACACCAGCGCACAGCAAGAATACTTCATTGTGTTTGGTCCAGTGTCGCAAACTGACAAAATGTCTCAGTCTCCTGGTTTCTGCAGGTCTGGGCAGTCTAAGAAAAAGGGAGAGAGAGAGACTAAGAGAAATCCAAACCTAAAACCCAGTTGCAGGAAAAGGGCTAAAACTAAGTGTGACCTGGCAGAGAAAGGGTTCTGTATGAGTCAGAAGTGGCCAACCCTCCCAAGCTCTGGGTAGTTTTTAAGCACTTGATTTTCTTGCAAATTTGCTTTTGTCCTTTATTCTCATTCCAATGTTTCTTATTTCAATTCATGGCTCAAATATAATTTCCAACACAGAATGTTAAGCTTTCTGACAAGAGCTAATACCTTGAATTAAGTTCCTGGTTGAATAATCAATTTCTATATTCAAAGGTATTCAGAACATCTGCAGTTGGGGTCCTAGAAGAGAGAGAAAAATACAAAGGAAATGTCAGTCAAGGATTTTGATATAGATTTTTGATATAGAGTAGTCTTTTGAAATGGCTTACATATCTATTCCCACCTGCACGCCAAACAGAGACAGAAGAAAACAACATTCAGAACTGCTGACACAGGACTCAAATAATATTTTCATTTCATAATTAGCTCCATAAAAGGGGTGAGGGTATCATCTGTGTTCACATTCTAACAGCACTTTACATATCCCAGGAAAACTAAAAGGAGGGTAGAGAGAGCCAGCAGTGCCTAGGAAAGCACCCTGCGCTTAGTGTTTATATCTGGGGTGCGTTTGATTCCAGAGAGCATGTGGGGACGCGTCCACTCACCTGCATACCATATTGAGTATTTATCAAGCGAATGAAACGCAAAGCTGTCATTTGTCATCTGCATTATGCCACTCACTACCCAGGAGAGTTCTTTCTGCTGACAAAGACTTCATAGTGAGTGACTGGGAAGGCAACCTTCCCCTGCCTCCGAAAAGTCCTAACTGGCCTCCATCAATCAGCAGGGGAAGGGGCGGTCCCGCTAGGCAAGGCTGGTCCCTCTGTCCAACCGTCCTCGGTGCCTAAGGGGACAGAACCCTCTTCACTGTCAGCACTAGCTCCACTATTATCAAGACCCAGTGCAGCGCTCGCCCGCAACACAGAGGCTTTGGTTTGCTGCAGCAAATCTAACCCTGTAGAGCAAAGTGATTGATTGGCTCTGAGACTGGGGGTTAGAGACTACCCTTCCACATTAATAAATAAATAAATTCCGGAGGAGAGCATTGAAAAATCTTTGCAAATCTGCATAGGAGGAGACTTTTGAAAGGGTTGGAAAAATGCCCCTTTCACTTTAGAATGCTAACCTGCTTGGACTTTTGAAACCTAGCAAAGGTCTCATCCAAAAAAAAAAGAAAGAAAAAAAAAACCTTTCTCTTGGTTATCATGACAGAATGTCTGTATGGGAATTGAGGGTGGCTGAAACTAATTAGAACAGAGTCCACTTTATCAGTATATCTGTCCCCACACACCTGAGGGTCTGTATTTTGATCTATAATAATAAGCTGGCGTCAGATAAACATAACAAAGTAAGTGTGAGCACTGTGTAGCAGGAGAAAATGGTCCCCAGCTAATTTCCAGGCCTTCAATTCTGGAGGTGATAAGGGGCAGTGAAAGAAGAGAAAAGAAAGAGTGTAAACTGTTCACCCCTGCTACACACGTTATTTTGTTTTACACACACACACACCCCTATTATTTTAAACTTCATGAGCTGTTTTGTAAACAATTCCTGAAGCCTGTAATTATGGGGGGTAGGGGAGAGAAGGTGAGGGACGAGAGGGAAAGAAAAGGAGGAGAGGAAGAGAAAGAGGTGGGGTAGAAGACACATTCAACAAAAAAGAGGTTTCTAAACAAAAATCGAGTGTCTTCAGGAGGCAGTCCTGAGTCGATCATCTGCAAAGCAGCAAGCAAACTTCTGAGATTGCTCCTGTAGCTCTGAGAAAGTCAATAGTAAGATTCGGTGGCTTTGGGTAATAACTTGGGGTTATTTCAGTGACTGCTGTGCAGGGAAAGCCCACAATTGTTCTTCATGGAGTTTCTAAGCATTTGTTTTAAATCATAAGAAAACTGATAAGATCCCAAAACTTCAGGAAGACGAAAGAAATGAGATGTCAAACAACAGCTGTCTCCCACAGTGCACGCATCAGGATCAATCATTAAATACAAGAATTTCATCAAGGGTTAGTGAGCCCTTTAAGTAGCAAAACTTTGCTCACCTGTCTAGGCCTGCAGGAGCAACTGAGGAAGAGTCAGCACAGTTTGCTGGCCTCCGCAGCAGTCTAACCCGCCTCCACTGACCATCAAAACCTGAGAAATGCGGTTGGACTCCTTGTGCAAAGCAGCAATACCAGAGTTTAAATAATCAGCCACATGTGAAACTGAAAATTCTTCCCAATTAAGATGCCGATAACATTCCCTGGAACTCAACCTACTTCACTAGTTATTCTTTTCTTTATCTTATTTACTTTACTTCTTCCTTTAGGAAAAAGAAAATTAGCCTTGATGGTACCTTGTATAAACTACATTGAAAGTCATTTCCTAATAAAGTAAAGGGAGGCCAGAGTTGATGGATTTTTTTTTTTAACCTATTAAGTGACCTTCCTTTCTGGTGAGTTAAAGGTGCAGAAAAGACTAAAATTTCTGTGCTTTATTATGGCTTCAGGGGATTCACATGTAAAAGCACAGAAACTGAGTGGTAAAAAACAGAGCTTTCAGACAGGTCTGGTCAGCAGGAACGCGTCCCTCTGATCCCCGTCCCTTCCATAAACAACACAAAACACACAAAAAGCTGCACACAGAAATGACCTTTTAAAACCTGTCATCCTCTCCCTGCTTGGTTTCCAGCTCCAGAAGGAAAAGAAGAAGGAGAAGAAGAAAGAAAAACCCTGACAGACAAAATGCAGAACTTGACAAAGGAGACAAGGATGAAATGCTTGAATTGGATACTTTGTGGTAGACAACAAGTGTCCTTAGAGACTAACAATTTGTCTTGAGAAATAGCAGAAAATGGCAGAAATGCAAAAGGAGTTTTTTTTTCCCCCACTCACACATGGAAAGTGAGTTGTATTCATGAATGAGGACCAGAATACAAGTTGCCTTTTCTCCAAGCCATGAAATGAAAACACCGATTGTAGCTCTGGTCATTTGGCATCGCTAGTTCACAGGACTTTGTTTAGGGCAGTGTAAGCCAAACTGTAAATGTGACATTAAAACTTTCAAGTCACACATAGAAGAAAAAAGGACTGGAAGGACTTCAATGTGGACAGAAGGCATAGTTCACACATGCTTTTATACCCATCCCCCACACTAATTAAAGCCTCATCGCCCAGGTAGGTTTACCAGGCTTTAGGTAGCCACCGAGTCCCCTCCCTGGAGCAACTGGTGCTGAGCTAAAACAGAACGAAGGTGGCGAGATGCTTGAAAAGGCAGGAGAGCTTACAGAATATAGTTTGGGACTTTTGCGTAGGGCATGAGATTCTATGGGGGAAATCCACGTGGCTTGAGCTAGTTTGAAGAGAATACTTACACAGTATTTCCCTTTTCTCCTCTGTGTAGGGAACTGCATTGATAGTGAAATTGCAATGATGGTAAAACTTAGAAGCATCTGAGGAGGGAGCATCATTTGCTTGGGGAAAAAAGGCCAGTTTCGCTCAGACAAAACAGTAAAATGACTACTTTTATTAAAGTTTGACCTTGAATACATTTCTTCTGTTTTTAATTTTTATGACAAAAAACCGTGTGTTGCCAATGGAGCATGAGGAATATTTTGAGGAAAAGTTGTGTGCAACCAACTTGCGAGCTACATTTTCTTTACCATGGAACACTATATTTTCTTGAAGGAATAATTTGAGCTTCAATTTTGGGCAGACATTTTCTCAAATAATGAATGAACTGAGACTGTCATTTTGAGGAAAGCTATTTGTTATATTTGTATTTATTATATTTGTTGCCAGTGACAGAAATCTAGCTTTTAAACTGAAATCAGAATTTGGAAAAGCTTGTGTCTGTCACTGTGATTTTGGCGACTTCCCCATGGGTCCAGCCTTTCTGAGAACACAGGTATTGATATTAACAAAGGTTATTTTGGATATTGTGAAGTGAAATGTGTTGAGTCAGGCTATCATAATTTAGTGAACTATTGTTTCCCAAATGACCAGATACAGTTCCATAAAATCATGTCAGTGAAAAATTTCAAAGTGCAAGTGACCATTGGATTTTAATATAATGGAATGTGAAAAGCTCATTGCTAAGTCTTCAGATTTCTTACTACAACTGACCTTTAAGAAATAACCACCTGTCAAGTTTTGGTATAGCATCAGAAAAGATCTACAAGTATGAGGAAAACTACTAGAAACTTCTTTTCCAACTATTTATCCATGTGAGCCTGAATTTTAATCCTACAGTTCAAACAAAACAATGTATTTTAGATTTGTAAAAATGTAAACAATGTCACTTTATTCACTAATATTTTATTGGTTCGGAAAACACAATTTCATAAAACAGATGATTTAACTTAGATTTTTATTTACATTTCAAAATAATGATATTTATTTATTTTTCTCAATTTATTTGTAAATATCAACAGGTATACTTCACATAAACAAAATCTCTTGTAGGTTCTCAATACATTTTAATAAATATAAAGTCATCCTTGTTCTGCTCCTCACTCTGTCTCTGGTGAATCCCCTCACCCCCTGCACCTCTGGCCTGTACCCAGTTCTGTATGCATAAGTAAATAAATCTTTTAGGAGGAAATATATATATATATATATATAAAAGTAAAGGCATCCTGAACTCGAAATGTTGGAAAGTTCCTAACACTATCCTGGGGTTCCAGGGTTAAGCCTGGACTTATTTTTTTACCTCTTGGGCTATAGATCTGGCCCATTCATAACTCACATGTCCCCCTGTAGACTTTGAAATCGTCCTATGTTCTAAATATCTGGTATCACATGGGAGTTGCTTTTCTTTTGTGAAATTGTGTTATTTTGTACTGAGGTAACATTTGTTTATAATACTGTATACTTCAGACATATCCAAGGTTCAGGTTCACACCTCTCTTCACAAATGAATGTTTGCACTCTAAACCACCTGAGAGGACAAGATCAGAACAGCCCAGTCAGCAGAAATAACCCTTGCAGGAATGGTGCAAAAGCATTGCTTCTAGTACAAAGCAATGCCCATCCATAGTGAGGACAGAGGAAAACCATAACCAAATGAAAACAACAGGTTCATTATACCATAGCATGCAATTACTCGAAGTTCAATTTAGCCAGAACAGTTTCTCATCAGTGAAGTAAAATAGGATTATACTAGCAAGAAGCTGGTATCCACACCCCACCCCTGTCCCTTCCTGCTGTCAATCTACACACTCACATTTCTTAGGGTCAGCTTGCATGGCCCTTTCCTCTTAAATGTGGC